TCAGGGCCTGGACAGATTGCCATCATCGACGGAAAAATGAATTCTCAAGTCTATCAAGACATTTTGCTGGAGAACTTAAGGCCATCTGTCCACCAATTGAAGCTCAACAGAAGATGGGTGATTCAACAGGACAACGACCCAAAGCACAGAAGTAAATCAACAACAGAATGGCTTCAACAGAAGAAAATACGCCTTCTGGAGTGGCCCAGTCAGAGTCCTGACCTCAACCCAATTGAGATGCTGTGGCATGACCTCAAGAGAGCGATTCACACCAGACATCCCAAGAATATTGCTGAACTGAAACAGTTTTGTAAAGAGGAATGGTCGAAAATTCCTCCTGACCGTTGTGCAGGTCTGATATGCAACTATAGGAAATGTTTGGTTGAGGTTATTGCTGCCAAAGGAGGGTCAACCAGTTATTAAACCCAAGGGTTCACATACTTTTTCCACCCTGCACTGTGAATGTTTACATGGTGTGTTACATAAAAACATATAATTGTTTGGGTGGTTTTAGCTTAAGCAGACTGTGTTTGTCTATTGTTGTGACTTAGATGAAGATCAGAACACATTTTATGACTAATTTATGCAGAAATCCAGGTAGTTCCAAAGGGTTCACATACTTTTTCTTGCAACTGTATACTTCATTCACACCAACGGTGTTTCAGGGCCGGTTCGGAGCTGGAGCTTGAAAAGCACTGGGTTTTCCTGTTCACACCGCAGCGGAGCAGCCTCTTAGCTCCGGAATCCGGTTTGTTTCAAGCACCAAAAAATTGTCCGGCTAGTGCAAAAGCACCGCATACGTCACGCTTACGTCGAGGCGGGGCAGGTGCGGGATCAACTCCTGAACAACAACAAAAAGCCCATGTTTTATCCAGTTTGTACACAACGATGGAGAAACTTAACAAGCAGCAGTGGTCCACTGAAGAGACCAGCTACCTACTGGGAATCTGGTCTTCCAAAGAGGTACAGAGGAAGCTGGAGCACAATCGGCCATTGTTGTTGTTGTCGGTGTGAGCTGTGAGGGGTTTCCGCGCGGTTNAAACAGGAGACGAATAATTATAAACAAACCAAAATGGTTACTTCTAGATTATCCTTGGGAAATATATGTCTGTGTGTTCAAAAGAAAGCGTCAGGCTCATTAAAGAAGTGTATTATTTGTTGAAATATATTTTACACCTCTTTAGATAGCAGTCAAACTGATATGAGAGGCATAGAGTCGATATGAAAAGCTGTGGTCATTCATAGTTGCATTCCACTGTTCTTTGGACAAATGTTGTTTGACTACACACCTTTGTGAGTTAATGTGTGTATTTCAGCAAAATGTCTGTGTGTGTGTTGTTACAGCTTTTTATCTTACAAAATGTGATTATGGCCTTTTATCCAATTATAAATATGCTTTTAAGATAATAAAAGGGGGAAAAACATGTTTTGCCTACAGGAGATTATTGTCCAGTTTTAAAATACATCAATTTAAGTTTGATACATTTTCAATAAATACATGTAATATAACTTCTACATTGGGACTGACTCTGCATGGACCAGATACAAAATCAACATATGAGCAACCAGAAATATAACATAAGTTAATTCATGAATGGTTTAGTAAATTAAACTCTGAAAAGAGGGCTTTTTTTGGCTCTTTTTTCCATAAGTTTGTTCTACAGCAGTATGAATTGTTAAATTTGAAAAATATACGTTTTATTCTAATAACATTAGCAATGGCTTTGTGTTATTGAAATGAAGTGTCCCAGTGAGCCATGGCAGTGTAACTATTGAGATTACTATAACTGTTTAAAATAAATTATTGTAATTATTTGAAATAATGTATGTAAAACCGTATAGGAAAAAGCATAACATGAACCAGCACCAACGTTGAAGCAGTTCGTTGGGACTTGGCTTGGTAACACAGGGTCTGCTTCTTAATACTAGTCTGAATTTGGCTGTGCATGTGTGACATTAAAGAGTTGATTTGTGACACTTGAAGCCAAAGATATTTTTGTTAATGCCTCTGCCTAGATAGACCTTTAAGGAACACACAGCTCCACAATGAAATATATATTTAGGGAAAACAGCAAATGACACAAACTATTTCACAATTTTTTTTAAATGACCATAAAACTTAATGACAAGCGTTCATTCATGACGTCATCCTGCTCCCACTTTAAAACCTCTCATGATCCAATTAAAGCTCTGTGAGAAAGGACGTTCACATGTTGACCCCGCAAACAGGAAAGAAAGGAAAGGAAGATTTGG